GGACATCTGCTCCATAACCCTTGGGGCAGGGTGTGTCCTGTCACCACAGTTATTTCCAGTGCTGCTAGTTACTTCCTCTTCTTTGGGGGCAGGAGGAGAGGGTTCCCAGTGGCGAAGGTGGACCCACCTGGCTCTCATCATCCGATTCCTCTGCTGAGTTCACCTTCATGAGTGCTGCCAGGTGACAGAACTTCTTGCTGTTTGTAGCAGTGTCCAGGCTGAAAAGTTGCCACAATAAGGAAAGGCAGCGGCCCTGCTGGTACAGGAAAGCTAATTTCTTCTCCCTGTCACACAAGAGACACATCTTTAGCCAGAGCAGATCACAGCAGCACAAAGATCTCACTATTGCTACTAATTAAACAGAGAGCAGCGGTGGGAGGAGGAGGATGCCTGATCTTCCACTGGTGGAAGCCTAAGCTAGGGTTGCCCCCATGCAACTATCGCACGCCAGGGCAACATGGCACTGAATCACGGAGCTACGGCTGTGCATCCTGTCTCTTCGCCACCCTAGCTGTGCTCACACAGGGGTGAATCAAGCCACAAAGCAAAGGGAGCTCTCTTCACTCTGTCTAGAACAGCAACATTGCTTTCTTTCCCCTTGGAGTAACCCAGGAGCTGCCTGTAGAGCTGGGACATAATGCCCATGGGTTTCTTTGGCTGAATGAATGTCCTGAACTGGACATTTCTTCCTCCTCCTAGGAGAGGAGGCATGGAGGATTCCAGGGGCAGGAAAGGGGAAAGGAAGAAGTAGCAATCGGATGATGGGGTACTAGTTGGGGGAGGGTCAGTCAACAGAGGGGTGGCATTGTGGGGGAGGTGGATGTAGCAGCAGGGAGGTTCAGGGTACTTGTGGGCATTGGGAAGGAAGGGAGACATCTGCTCCCCCACTTTGGCTGGCTGCAGAAGGGAGCAGCACAGAAGAACCTGAGGCTGCTTTATGCAGCAATGCTGAGAACCCTCCCCCCTTCCATGGCCACTACAGATCAGCTTTTAGGCTCCAGACAGGGGGGATTAGCAATTGTAGCCCTGTGCCAGCAGGGGTTGCTCTGTCAGCAGAGGGGAGCAGGAGGGGCTTGGCCAGGGCATGAGGGAGCACCATTGGCTGGGTCAGACACTTCTCCCCCACCATCCCGCAAGCATGGGGGGGCACAGTTATGGGGAGCATCAGAGGGGATAGCTGTGAGGGGGATATGGGGAAAGCCATGCTGTCAACTCTCATGATAGATGGCATTTTTCCTAAAGCCCCAGCTCCTGGAGTCATGGGATCACAGGAGAACCTTGGCTGCCATTTATTATTTCAAAAGAACAAGGTTCATGTTGTGAAGAAAAGCTTGAGAGACTGGTGATCTTCGGGGAAGGAAAGAGAAGCCGGAAGGGCTGGGGGAGAGGAAAGAGACTGGGGTGGGAGGCTGTTTGGGGCAGAGAGAACAAGAGGGCTATTGGGGAGTCTGGACGGATTTCACATGGAGAGAAGCCTGGAGCGGGAAGGAGGGTGAAAACTCAGCTCACCATCTGGAGACTGCTGCAGTGTAGGCTGGGAGTCTGCCACTGGGGACACTGTAGGGGGAGGCCAAAGTAGATGTTGGTGTTTTATTGAGGGGTATCGGATGAAAGGCAGTTGTGCTAGGACATTTTGGTGATCCAGGAAGGAGGGTTGCTTCGTGGCAGAGAATTACTCTGTCCATCTCCCCCACCAGTGGCTGTAAGAGGTGAATGTAATGGGGGGAGGGGGGTGTTGCGGCAGCAGGAAGGGGGTTCCAGCAGAGATGGGGAAGAAGGTGAGCAGAGGAGGAGGGTGGCAGCAGCAGGGGAATATGATGAGGTACGCTGGGGATTCCTGGGGGAGAGGTGAGACAGCCTGACTCCCCCCTGGTGCCTCAACCCAAACTCCGTCATCCCACCCCTCAGGGCCTCACCTACCCCTCCTGGAATCCAGCCTTTTCCTGCTCACTTTTTTCCCCACTCCTGAAATCCCCCTGCTGGACTGTCCATCACTTCTACCTGTCCTCACTACCTCACCTTCACCCCCAAGCACCCCATCTTCAGGCTCCCATTCTCCCCTCCTACCTTAACCCTTCACCTCTGCACTTCCTCCTTTCCACTGCCTTAACCCTCACCGCCTCGTACCCCGGGCTGCCTCACTGACCTCTGCCACCAACCCCTCCCCTGCTGTTCCACCACTGCCTCCCTCCACTGGGGTTCCCTCATCTCCCCCAGTTTCCCGCTCCACAGCACCTCCCCCATTATACACACCACTCTGATATCTCCCCTTCCTGTGTACCTCCAGCCCCTCATGCTGATACCCCCACTGCCTCATCTCTCTCTCTCTGCTTGAATCCCCAACAACACTATCCTGCACGGCCCAAAGGGTCTTTCCATAACACCAGATGCTTTTCCTTGCTCCCTCTGCCCCCGTTGGCCCCAAATCCCATGGCTCCCAAAAGAGCTTCTCCTAATCTCAGGTGCCCCTTCACCTAGGACATCCCCGAACCACTAAGATGATGACTTCTTGCTCCACAACCTAAAAGAATGCTCGTAAACACATTACGCAGCCATGCAGTAGAATACATTCTGTTAAAGCATTGGCACTGTTCAAGTAGATTATTTATAGTGCAAATAAAAACCTTAAAACTTGTTTACATATGTTGCACCCGTTTTTATCACAAACGGGTAAATTGAAGCACTGTTCCCAGACTGAAATATGAGCATTCCCATGACGAGGCTGGTTAGCAAGGACAGGCC